AGTAGTAGGAGTAGGAGTAGGAGTAGGAGTCAAGCTAGCCAGCTCGAGCGAGTCAAGCATGGCACGCCCAGACCCACCCGCCCTCCCACAACATAAGAAGCAAAGCTGGCACAACTGGGGGCCGAAGTCACACCGGCCAGCCGATTTGGTACAGCTGATGCGGCCGCGATGGCGGTTGCCGACGGGAACTGGCGAGCGCGTGTTGAATGCCGCGCAACGCATTGCCAGACGAGTCGAGAATGGCCCGGTACACCGCAGGAAGCCAGAGGTGGCCGGAGGAAGCCCGACGGTCTGACAGGACACCCCAAAGCATTTTTGTGAAAAAGCATTGGGGTTTTGATGTTTGTATGTTGAAATGCTTGCAAACACACAGTGTTCGGTAGGATTCTGACATGAACGCGCGAGTGTGCTCTTTGTGGTATTTTTTGCACAGGATTCGCGGCCTGGGTGCATGACAGAGCATCGCGAGTGCACCGCGCGATGACGTGAAATCGCTGGATTTGACCGAATTCTTAAGATTCCTATGGTTTTCCTATGATTTCAGCAAGAGAGCCCGGGCGGGAAATTTGTACAATTTTTGTGAAAAAGCATTGGGTTTTTGATGTTTTTATGTTGAAATGCTTGCAAACACACGGTGTTCGGTAGGATTCTGACATGAACGCGCGAGTGTGCTCTTTGTGGTATTTTTTGCACAGGATTCGCGGCCTGGGTGCATGACAGAGCATCGCGAGTGCACCGCGCGATGACGTGAAATCGCTGGATTTGACCGAATTCTTAAGATTCCTATGGTTTTCTTATGATTTCAGCAAAAGAGCCCGGGCGGGAAATTTGTACAATTTTTGTGAAAAAGCATTGGGTTTTTGATGTTTTATGTTGAAATGCTTGCAAACACACGGTGTTCGGTAGGATTCTGACATGAACGCGCGCGTGTGCTCTTTGTGGTATTTTTTGCAATGGATTATCGCCGTGGACGACAGGACGTCCATGTCGAGAGGAAAAAATAAGAAAATGTTGATTTTGTATCGTTTTTTACAGGTTAGGATGGGACCCCCCGGATGCGGCCCCTAATGGCCGGCCTGAGGGGGAGTTAGGAGTATATCTAATAGGATAAGTAGGAGTAGGAGAGGAGTAGGGAGTAGGAGTAGGGTAGGAGTAGAGGAGGAGGAGGAGGAGAGGAGGAGGAGGAGGAGGAGGAGGAGGAGGAGAGGAGGAGGAGGAGAGGAGGAGGAATAGGAAGAGGAGGAGAGGAGGAGAGGAAGGAGGGAGGTAGGAGGAGGAGGAGGAGGAGGAGGAGGAGGAGGAGGAGGAGGAGGAGGAGGAGGAGGAGGATGAGGAAGGGGCGATGGCGCGAGGAGGATCGCGCGTCGCGCTTTGTAGGGCGCAATGCGCGAGGTGATGTGGCGGGGCCTTCTCAGGAGTCCTTCATCGAGGGCCTCGTGGGGCCTTGCCGCGGGCCTTCTGAGAGGCACGTCGTGCGTCCTGTGTCCGTCGCCGCCTGGGAGGAAGCGCTGCCTCCATCGCACGACTTCGAGCTGAGACGTCCGACGGCTTGAGCAAATGGGGACCCTTCCAAAAGGCGACTCAGGATGAAGAGCCAGCCCCAAGGATGGGATCGAGAAGTCGGGAGGAAGCGCTCGCGGCAGGCCGTGGGAGAGCCTCCAGAGCGCGCCGCGGAGAGCTGCAGAGACCTCCGGAGACCTCCTTGGCAGCTTCGTCCTCCTCCCCCCCTCCCCTCCTCCCCTCCTTCCTCCTCCCCTCCTCCCCTCCTCCCCTCCTCCTCCCCTCCTCCCCTCCTCCCCTCCTCCCCTCCTCGACTCGGTGGCGACGCCAGCGAGGGCGTCCACCATGGAGTGCCTGCCGGGGGCCCGTCTCGGCTCCCGGGGGCCCGCAGTGGGCGAAGTCCAGGCGAGAGGTGGCGTCGGGAGCCTCCAGGGAGCTCCCGGAGCAGAGGCCGCTCAGGGCCTGCAGTGATCGCGCGGCGGCAGAGGGCCCAGAGCGTCAAGGCAGGAGCCCGCCGTGTGCCCCCCCCTCCTCCGGTCCCCCTGCCCTGGGCCACCTGCGGCGGCGCGAAGGCAGCCGTGCTTCGCGCCCTGCGGTCTGGCCCGCGGGGCCGCCCCCTCCCCCTCTCCAGAGTGACAGCGCTGCGAGGAGTTCGACGGGCCCCGCCCTCCCCCCCCCTCCTGCATTCTCCTCCGCTCTCATGGGGCTCCTCCTCCCCCCGGCCTCCTCAAGCCTCCTCCCTCCTCCCTCCTCCATCGTCCCTCCTCCCCCTTTGTCTCCTTCTCTCTCCCTCTCCCTCTCCCTCTCCCTCCTCCTCCTCCTCCTCCTCCTCCTTCTCCTTCTTCTTCTTCTTCTTCTTCTTCTTCTTATTATTATTCTTTTTTTCTTCTTCTTCTTCTTCTTCCTTCCCTCTGCTCGGCCTCCCTCCTTCTCCTATTCCTCCTTCTTCTCCTCCTCCTCCTCCTCCTCCTCCTCCTCCTCCTCTGTTTGGTGAGGGCTGGTAGCGGGGGTGCCCCAAAGCGGGGGTAATTTCGGTTCTTGCTGTGTGACTTTGGGTACGCAGAGTAGTCGGCAATTGCATCAAACCGTGCTGGGCCTGAGAGCTCACCCGCCTCACAGGTCCCCCCTGGGTACCCTCTCCTTTTTGGGATCCTCCCTCGGGCCCTCCACCCTGACACCTTGGACCCTCCATGAGAGCGACGGAAAACAGAAAACGGGGTCGTCTGCGCCGACATCCGCGCGTGAGCTGCCCACGTAAGGTCGCGCGTAAGCGCCCTCGTCTCCAATGTAGCGCGCCGCGCTGGCGGCCCGCGTAAGCCGCCGCGGAAGGTCGCCGCCTCGTCTCGCGCAAGACCCGTCTCTATTCGTCGCTCACCTTGGACCCTCCATGTGCCCTCCTCTCCGCAAAGGGCCCCCCCCCCCTCCAGAATGCCTGGCGCAGCCCGGCTGTCCCCCCTCCCCTCCCCCGAGCGTTCCGCAGGAGGGCACCGGCGTGGTGGTCGCGCCCGGGGCTCGGCTGCCTCCGGGCTGGGCTGCCGTCGCCGCGCGCGAGGGGCACCTGGGCTCGTCCTCCTCGCCCCTGATGGGCCTGTTTTCCACCACCACCACCATGAGTTGGAGGAGGGAGGGGGTCGCCCTCTCCCTCTTCTTCCTCCTCCTCATCCTCCACCTTCTTCACCCCTCCAACTTATGGTGGTGGTGGTGGTGGAAAACAGGCCCATCAGCCCCCTCCTCTCGAGTCGGGCGAGCGGGGGGATCAGGCCAGAGCCCCGAGTCATCGGGGCTGGGTGCAGTCGGGGGCTTACCGGGCCCCAGAGACGGCTGGGCCGTTTTCGAGAGAGTGCTTCTTAAAAGTGGAAGCGTGGCAAAAACGGCGGCCAGAAAGGGCAACATGACGGCTCCGAGATTGGAACCGGAACCAGAACCGGAAAAAGAACGGCGACGGAACCAGCACCAAAGCGGCGACGGAGCCAGCAACAAGAGCGGCCAAACGGAACCAGTAAGACAACGGCCCCGTCGTTTCCAGGGCCCACTTTAGGTCAGGGGTAGCTGCGGGTTCGCGCCTCGGGGGCCCAGGTCGGGCAAGGGTGCCCTTGGACGTTCTGTGTGTTCTGTCCGGCGGAATGTCTCATGCTCTTGAGGGGTGCTCTTCTGGCCGACAGGTCCGACTGTAGCTACGGGGTCGTTCCTCGGTGGCCCAGGGCCGCAGTCCTCCCGGATACTTCGGTCGTCCGCTCAGGAAGTGGCGGGGTTGCGAACCCAGATCCCCGACGTCGCGCCTTGCTCACAGCCTCGACCCCCAGAGGGATGGAACCTTTCCCCAAGACCGGTTTCTCATCCCGAGTCGTATGTTTTGACGGTCCGGAGGCCCGGAAAGGGACCCCGGAGGCCGAAAACTGCGAAAGACCTCCCGGCGTAATTGATTCATGACGCGAGGAGGTCGGAAACTCTGCTGTGCGCGCAGCCGCTTTGGGCGGCCCCGCGCGGCACGCTCCGCGCTCCTGCTTGAGGGCATGGGCGTCGCCGGAGATCAGCCGGCTGCGCGGCCCTGTGCGCGATCGAGCCCCCCCCCCTCGTCCGCCCGGGCCCTCGTCCTTTCCGCCTTCCCGCCTCGTCCTCCTCGTATACTCGTCCACACTCGCCCGAAGGATCCAGTGATAACATGATCGAGTATGCAGCCGTGTCATGCAGCGCACCCTCAGAAGCCGTAGGGGCGCAGAGAGAGAGAGAGAGAGCGAGAGAGAGAGCGAGAGAGGGCGGCACTCTAATGACACAATGATGGATGCGCCCAGCATTGAGCGCCCGTCACTGGTAGACGATCTCAGGGCTTCTGGCGGCCATGTGAGCGACGCAGACAAACGGCCTCGACCGTGCGGACACTCGCGCGTATCCTGCCCGCGTACAGGTCGCGTGTGAGCGCCCTCGTTCCCAGCGCAGCGTGCCGCGCTGGCGCCCAGCGTGGGCTGCGGCGTAGGTCGGCCTCGCGCCGAGGGGGGCGCCCTTGCTTCTTGGAAGGCGCGGGCCTCGTTTTCGTAGATGCAGGGCGGGCGCCTTCGAAGAAGCGGCCTCCATTTGAGAAGCCTTCCCCCCTCCTCCTCCCCCCCTGGCGAACGCCAAGCCAAGTCAGGTCTGTGTGCCATCCTGCCTAAGGCCCCCGTTGTCGCCCAGGCGGCAGTACATCTCGTCGACGGCGGTCCTGCAAGCTGGCTGGTGGAACACCCACTGGAAGATCCTCAGGCTACCATTAAGTCGGGCCTGTCCATCTGCAGGAGGAGTATTCAAAAATAAGTCCATCTATAGTCTGGGGACGATTTTCCGAGTATCTTTGGACAAACGTTGTACATTTTTGGGGCACTTCTGATTTGTCGTCCAACATCCGCCGGTAGGGGGGGAGGGACATGCCCGACCGAAGGCTACCACTCGATGCCTGGTGGGTGGAGGATGCCCGCCTCCTCCCCGAAGAAGCCCCCCCGACGCGGGCCGCGGAGCGCCGGCTCGCACGCGGCCGCCGAGGGCCTCGAGGCCCAGACGCGCGCCGCCCCGAGTTTTGCAGGGCGTCCCTCGGGAGGGAAGGACCACAGGCAGGCACAGTGAGTCGTCGACTCCCCCGAAGATATGGGAAAATAGGGGAAGTTGGGGGGAAGACGAAGACCCCCCAAAAATATGGGAAGATATGGGGGGTCTTTTTGTATTTGCGTGTGTGTATTTATATTTGTGTGTGTGTGTGTGTGTCCTTGGGCCCCTTCATTCCCCGGAAGTCCCGACCCTTTCCCCGGTACCAGCTTCTCTTCCCGAGTCGTTTTTTGACGGCCCCGGGAGGCCCGGCGAGGGCCCCCCCAGGGCCGAAGACAGGGACAAGCCTCGCGTCCTGATTTCTCTTCACGGCGCTCGACGGACCCGATAGGCCTGGCGGGGGCCCCCCCCCAGGGCCGAACCTAGGGCCACACCTCGCGCCCTGACTTTTCTTCACGACGCGGGATTGTCTGGGGGGTGGAGATCCTGCCAGCGAGAGCGCTCCTCCTGTCCCTCCCCGCCCTCTCCGCCCGCATATCTTGGGCACAAGTGTCGGAGGTTGATAGACCTCCTACCCTGACACGCCGATTCAGGAATTGGCCGTTTTCGGTTCGCGAGAGGGCGCCACGGCCGTTATTTTTGCGGGTCCAGGTCCGTCGGTCTCGGTAGCCAGGCCGCTTTCACTAAAGGGAGGTTTACTGAAGGGAGGTTTGTGCACCGCCGAAAGTGGCGCGCCAGTGGGCACCCTTCGATTCTACCAGAAGGCCAGCAGGCCCGCGGAAAAGCCGGGCGGACTCTCCCAAGGCCTGTCACCAGGGCCGCGAGGCCCGAGCTCTCCGCCCGCCGGCGCCCAGGCGCCCTCGCCCGCCCACTCCTGCACCGGCCCCCGGGCCGCTGTGGCGTGGCGTGCGTGTGTGTGCGTGTGCGTGCGTGCGTGCGTGCGTGCGTGTGCGTGCGTGCGTGCGTGCGTGTGTGTGTGTGTGTGTGTGTGTGTGTGCGTGTACAGTCGGGCCGCTGAAGACGGAACCCTTTTCGTTGAGGAGGGGCTGGGTGTTCCTTGATTGTTTCACAGCTTGTCTTCGGTTTTCCTCAGGTTTTCGATGGAAAATCGAACTTTCACTGATGGGAACAAGGGGCCTCGTTCCTTATTTAGTGTTCCTTAGGTCAACGCCCCGACTGTAGGGGGCCACGTGCGAACCCTACCCCTACCCCCTACGATCTCTGAGGGGGAGGGTGGGGTTCACTTCGTGCGGGAGCTCCCCCGAGCGAAGGGAACCCTCCCCCTCCCCCTCAGAAATTGTAGGGGTAGGGGTAGGGTTCGCAAGTGGCCCCCTAGTGTGTGTGTGTGTGTGTGTGTGTGCCCTCTTTGCGGAAGAGGTTCGCTCTCGCCCCGCAGATCAAAAAGTGTGTGTGTGTGTGTGTGTGTGCCCTCCGCCCCGGGGCGGGGCCCCCTCGCCGTGCCCCCCGCCCCGCGGGAGCTCCGGCGCGGCGCCCCGCCCCCTCGGCCCGAGCCCCCGCTGGCCCGAGGCAGGCCAGCACGATGTCCAAGAACATCGCGGAGGCCCGCCGCCGCCCCCCCCGGGTGAAGTCGGGCTTGTCCCTCCACAGGAGGAATATTCAAAAAGAGCCAAAACATAGCCTGGGGATCATTTTTGGAATGTTTTTGACCATTTTGCAGTATGAGATTTTGGATTTTTTTTTAATTTTTCGTCGAAAACTACCTGTAGGGGGACACGCCCGACTTACCCCCCAGGGGCTCGTTGCGATGCCTTCGCTTCGATCCGATTCGCTTTCGAGAGCTTCCGATTCCGATCCGATTCGGCGTCGGAGTCCGAGTTGGGCTCCGATTTCTCAACGGAGGCCTGCTGGCCTGCCGAGCCCAGGTGCCGTCAGAGTGTCCCCGAGAGGATCGAGGGTCCCTCGTGCTCGTCGCCGTCTTCGTCGTCGTCGTCGTCGTCGTCGTCGTCGTCGCTGTCGTCGACCTCCTTCCCTCGCGTCTCGGTGTGTGGACAGCCCGACGGCTTACCACCCTCCCCTCCCTCCTTCCTCCTTTTCTCCCTCCCTCCCTCCCTCCTCCTCCTACTGTGCGCCCGCGACTGCATGGCTCTGGTCGTATGGCTGTCTGTTAGATGCCCACGCCGTAATCTTCACTTCCCTTCACCAGATGTCTTATCTCCCTTCCTCTGTGCGCCCCCTCGCTGGCAATGATCAAGTGGCAGCTACTCCGAGGCACTCGCACAGGGTGCAGAAGAAACTGTTAGCAGAGTCTCTGCGCCGCTTGATGCCGTGAGCGGTAGCGATGTTTATCGGGCTTGTTTTATTCGAGAGGCTTACGCCATTCCGCCGACCCCCAGAAGAGGCGGGGCAGTCCACGGATGTGGCGTCGTGGGCTTCTTGGGCACTGTCTGGGGATTCTTGTGGGCGTCTTGGGAGCTGTTCGGGGGCCTGGTTGAGCCTCTTGGAGGCAGTTTTGAAGCGTCTTGGTATCCCTTGTCTCTTCTCCTTCAGCTAGGTCCTCCTACCCACCCCTCTCTCCTCGGAGTCGCGGTTGATTGGGGAGGACACGCGATAGGACGCAATATCCTTCTGAGGGCCACATCTCCATGGGAATGTACAAGGCATGGGTCGCGAAACACAGGACACGAGGGTGTCCTGGCAGTGTCGACCTGCGAATCAACTTCGACTGTACGCCCAGCCAGCAGCATTGCTGTGGCTGTTCGCCCGCGCCCTGCTGCTGGGTCGCTTGCTTGCTCTGCTGCTCTCGTGTAGCTGCGCCCTTCGTGGGCACCAGAGGCATGCTCCTGCACTGCCTGCAGCCGAGTCAAGCGCCTCTCCTCCCAGTTTGAACGGATGCCGAAGGCGAGCGTAGCGAATTACCCGCCGCCGTTGTGGCTGACAGCGGCTCGCTGCATTGTTTGCCTGTGCGATTCTCCGTATACCACCACGTGAGACACACGTACATCGTGCTTCTACCATGACGCTCTCACATATGCCGTCCCAGATCTCTTCTCGCCATCCACGGTTTACTCTACGCTGCAGTCGGTATACCTGGGGAACGTCTGACACGTTGTCGTTTCACGGCTTACTGTGCCACTTTCGACTCTCCCCTCCACTCCCTCGCCCTGTTCCTTCTTCTCCTCCTCCTCCTTCTCCTCCTCCTCCTCTTCCTCTTCCTCATCTTCCTCCTCCCCCTCCTCCTCCTCTTCGTCTTCCTCCTCCTCCTCCTCCTCCTCCTCCTCCTCCTCCTCCTCCCCTCCCTCTCCTCCTCCTCCTCCTCCTCCTCCTCTTCCTCCTCCTCCTCCTCCTTCTCCTCTTTGGCCTTTCTCCTCCTTTCGGATCCGTGCTCCTGGGCTTTCCCTGGACCTGTCGTGGGCCTCCGCCGTGCCGCCGCGGACTTCTCCGTGGACCCTCTGGACACCGCCGGGGGGCCCCCCGGAGGTCCTCTCCAGAGAGCTTTGTTGGGGGCCTGCCGAGGCCTCCTGTCTGCCTCTCTGGAGATGCCGCTGGAGTGCAAAGGCCCACACCGGGTTGCCGCTTTCCCTCCTCCTCCTCCCCTCCTCCTCCTCCTCTCCTCCTCCTCCTCCTCCTCCTCCTCCTCCTCCTCCTCCTCCTCCTCCTCCTCCTCCCCCTCCCCCTCCTCCTCCTCCTCCTCCTCCTCCTCCTCCTCCTCCTCCTCCCTCCTCCTCCTCCTCTCCTCCTCCTCCTCCTCCTCCTCCTCCTCCTCCTCCTCCTCCTCCTCCTCCTCCTCCTCCTCCTCTCCTCCTCCTCCTCCTCCCCTCCCTCCTCCTCCTCCTCCTCCTCCTCCTCCTCCTCCCTCCTCCTCCTCCTCCTCCTCCTCCTCCTCCTCCTCCTCCTCCTCCTCCTCCTCCCCCTCCCCCCCCCTTTCCCCTCCCCTCCTCCTCCTCCTCCTCCTCCTCCTCCTCCTCCTCCTCCTCCCCTCCCCCTCCTCCTCCTCCCCCACCTCCTCCTCCTCCTCCCTCCTCCTCCTCCTCCTCCTCCTCCTCCTCCTCCGCCTCCTCCTCCTCCCTCCTCCTCCTCCCCCTCCTCCTCCTTCTCCTCTCCTCCTCTCCTCTCTCCTCCTCCTCCTCCTCCTCCTCCTCCTCCTCCTCCTCCTCCTCCTCCCCCACCTCCCCTCCTCCTCCTCCTCCCTCCTCCTCCTCCTCCTCCTCCTCCTCCTCCTCTTCCTCTCCTCCTCCTCCTCCTCCTCCTCCTCCTCCTCCTCCTCCTCCTCCTCCTCCTCCTCCTCCCCTCCCCTGCTCCTCCTCCTCTTCCTCCTCCTCCTCCTCCTCCTCCTCCTTCTCCTCCCCCTCCTCCTGCCCCACCTCCGCATCGCCGATGCAGAGCTGCGACGTTCGGCGCGTCGAGGGTCGATCGCATTGGCTGCGTCTGGCAATGCCCTTCGTGCATCGCGCTCCTTGCTCCTCGGACACCGGGTCGGTGGCCTGCGGCTTGGCCAGGGTTGCAGATGAGATATCGTGGGGCTGCGCGGCGATCTCTTGTTGACAGACACGGCATCGTGTGCGCTCAGGCTTGAGAGTGTGCCACGTAGTGTTTCTTCGCAGTTTGAGTCCAGGGATCTAAAGTCATCGTATATACGTCGGGGGAGTAGGAGGAGAGATGAGGGGACGAGGATTGGGAAGTTGTGACTGATGATGACGAGTATGAATTGAGTTCGAAATGTATTCGGGAACCAGACTTCACAATGTTTGGAAGGCGCGCGGCCCCTGGCGCATGAGCCGCACTGCCACGGTCGACAGCGGATCGCGCGGCTGAAAGCCACGTGACTTCGAAGCGAATTCATGCTTCGTGGCACATTGCCCATGGGCCGCGCTACTACTTCGGATTGTACTGTGCGGTATTCCAGCTTCGATTCTTGCTCTCTTCCTTCTTCCGCGTCCTCCCACTTCCGCCGCCCTCTGCGCGGCCTTCCCGCCGGGGAGGAGATCAAGGAAAAGAAAATTTCGACGAACTCCATTAAAGCCGCGGAGATCTTGGGCAAGCACGTCGCGCAGAGGTGGAGCGGGGGCGGGGCCGTCGTCCTCGTGGGGCTCCTGAACGTCCCCTGGACATTCGGCGGTTCGAACAAAATCCAGGCGGGCGGCCGGCTGTCCGCCATCCTGGGCGCTGCAGGCGGACCTCGGGCCCGGGGGTCATGAGAAATCGATTCACGATGAGAAGCTGGCCCTGGGCGATGGGCAGAGAGGTTCGGGGGCCCGTGTCTCGAATAACTGAGCCGCCCGATGTGTAGGTCCTTGTCTCCCTCGTCTTCCTGTGTATCCGTTTGTGATCAGGTGAAAGATGTAAGATTGGCGACGAGCATTTGTGGATACCTGGCGCGGGTGTCAATCGGGTTGTCCAGGCTGGCCTTCGCCGCGCTAGCCACAAAATCGATTGTATCAACGGATGCAGTCACTGATGAGACGGACCTGGGCACACTTTCGGCAGTGAATGTCAGTGCAGGCTGGACCGTGCGGTCTGTGGAGCAGATGGATTCTATTGCGGACCTGCTGAGTGGCAACAATGCATGTGACGTTGCACTGAAGCTCTTCTCAAAGTGCGAGTCTTTCTCTTCACTACGCGTATCGACTTCGCATAGCCCTCATTCGATACAAAATGGTACTTCAAACTCATCACTGTCCCCTCTGATGGAATTACATTGAAGTTTCAACTCGCTTATGGGGAGATGTGCACACCCTCAAGGTGCGTCTCCAAGACACTTGGATTGCTAATCCATATGGTGATGCTGTCGCAGCTCGTTCCCACTTCGAGGCCAGCTGGCCCGGCGTCAGTTTCAATAGCTTCTTCATCTACAACACTTAATACTTGGACAAGGGCGGCACTAGTATTGAATACTTTACAGAGCAAGTTGTGACGGCTAAAGGATAAGGGACACGATCTAATACGTTGTGCAAGGTCGTTAGATGTTTCGAAGAACAGCTGGCTGCAACACAAGAGGACACTTGCTACATTGCCTTCGGCATGCATTATATTGCCGCATATTTTTTCGCCGAAACTGGACAGAAGTATTGGTATTGCTGTTTCCAGTGCCTTCGTAGAATTTGCAGGATATTGAGCTGCTTTCGGCAGGCCCCACCACCGTACCACTGCAGCATCGAAATTCGCTCGATATGCCTCTTCCGAGCTCTTCCGAGCAGGCTCCGTAGAGCAATATTGGGGCCGCTTGGGGAATTTCACTGCTGTAACGTTGCATTGTTGCTGCGTCGCCTCTGGGGGGCTTACTGCATGTTCGGGGGCTTCTTTGGGGCGTCTTGGGCACGACGGACCTACCGAGCTTGCCCAGAGAGGTATTGCGGAACCGTCCTACTGGGTCTTGGGGCCGTCTTGGAGCCTTCGTGGGGTAGTCTTCGCCCGTTTTGGGCTCCATTGTGCGTCCTGAGTTCTTGTTGGGACCGTCTCGGGGCTGTCTTGCAGCTCTTTGGGGTCTTCTTGTCTTGTGGCTCTCTTAGCTTGGGCAGCAAGCCGCGGAAAGCAACACACATCTAAAACCCGTAAAACCCAATATCTACCAATCGCATGTTTCACATGCTTTTACGGGACCTTTCTGGAGGGCTCCCTTGGGGCCGCGTCGGGCCAATGGGGGCTTCTTGGAGACATTTCGACTCTGTTGGTGGTCTTGGGGTCATCTTTGGTTTTCGTTTGACCATGTTTCTCAGGCTTTTACAGGACCTTGCTGGAGGGCTCCCTTATGGCCTCGTCGGACCCATGGGGGCTTCTTGGAGACATTTCGGCTCTTGTGGTGCTCTTGAGGGGGGAGGAGGGGAGAGGGGGGGGAGAAGGAGGAGGAGGATGAGGAGGAGGAGGAAGAGGATCTGAAGTTCTGGTCGATGGGGTCCTCTCTGGTTCTGGTTCGAAGAAACTTGCGGCCTTCATTGGGGCGGTCTTAGACCGTCCTGGAGCTCTCCTTTGGGACGTGAAGATCGTGGGGAAGAGAAACGTGGAGGAGGAGGAGGAGAAGGAGGAGGAGAAGGAGGAGGAGGAGGAGAGGGTTACCTCGATAATACTACAGAACACCTGCCATACATCCACCAGGCATTCTCATACGCTCCAGCGTGCCGAGGGCATGATGGCCAGCAGCTCGCCGCTTTTGTGGCTTCGACGCTCACGCCCCAGACAGGAGCCGCTGGTTGAAACGCGCGTGTCTGGCTGGCAGCTGTGCTCACAGTGCTATGCCCGACCGGTCTGTGCCAACGATTGCTGTTGAGCAGTGGCTTGCTCACCCTCCACCGCCGGCAGGGGACCCAGTTCCACCCCGACGCTCGACCTTCCCTAGCCAGGCTGGAGGTGGGACTGCTGGAGGGTTAATCCAGCCTGAGGCCTCGAAACGGAGCTGGTCAAAACGCACACTTTGATACTGGGCCTCTCAGGGCCGTCTTGGGCCGTCTAAGAAGCTTTGCCAGGCTGTTATTTAGGCCAGTCTTGGTTGGTCTTGGGATCATCCCGAGGTTGTTTTGGATGCCTTGGGACCTCAGGGGTCCATCTTGGACTGTCTTGAGGTCATCTTTCTTATTTGCTGTTTGTTTTTGTTGTTCCTTGTTTTTTTGTTTTCTCTCTTTGTCTCTCTCTCTCTCTCTCTCCCTTTTTGTCTTAGAGTTTTTGGGGAGGCCCTCTTGGAACCATCCGGATTAAGAGGAGGAGAAGCTCGTGGTCAACTTCAGCCTCCTTCTTTCCTTCTTAGGGGCCTTGTGTAGCCATGCTGGAGGCTATGCTCTCCTTGTACCATCTTATCTTGCGCCGTCTTGGAGGTCGTCGTCGTCTGCGTCGTCGTCGTCGTCGTCGTCGATATCGTCGTCGTCATCGACATCATCATAGTCGTCGTCTTCGTCGTCGTCGATATCATTATCGTCATCGTCGTTGTCCGCGTCGTGGACGTCCGCGTCGTCGTCGTCGTCGTCGTCGTCGCCGTCGTCGTCGTCGTCGTCGTCGTCGTCGTCGTCGTCGTGTCGTCGTCGTGTCGTCGTGTCGTCGTCGTCGTCGTCGTCGTCGTCGTCGTCGTCGTCGTCGTCGTCGTTGTCGTCGTCGTCTCAGTTGTTGTCGTCATCGTCGTCCGCGTCGTCGTCGTCATCGTCGTCGTCACTGTCGTCGTCGATATATCGTCGTCGTCGTCGTCGTCGTCGTCGTCGCTTGCGCTGGCGCCGGCGCCGGTGCCCGTGCCCGCCGTCGTCGTTTGCCATTGGCGAGCAGGGACGGGGGGAGGGTTCGAAGCCTCGTTCCCCTTGCAGTTCAGGGGTCGGAGGACTCGCTTCGAACTCCCCCCCTCTTTCAAGCGTCCAGAGAACTCATTCTTTCTCACCTCGCCTACCGCCCCCCTCGACCCTCTGATCCCTGCGCTGGCGTTTGAGGAGCAGCTCGAGTCCCCGGGTTGGTGTAAAGGGTGGGCGTGCGTGTGCATGTTCAGGTGCGTGTGCGCGTCTGTGGATGTACAAAATTCGAAACGAGCGGTTGGCTCCAACGAGGAAAAGTCGGAGCGGAGGGAAGAGGATTCATTGCTCAGAAGATTGCAGCGGTGAGCTTCGGGAGCCCCGCTGACGCGGTGGAAGACATCAACCGTGCACCGACGCGGAACCTGGCCAGGCCAGTGTTGGGCCGAGAAGGGGCCTGACCAGATCGGTGTTGGTGTTAGCCTGCGTCTTCCTGGCACACCTTGGGATGCGGGCTGGGGGGCAAGGAGGAGATAATATCAAATCGGGCATGTCCTCCTACAGGGGGAATGCTCCAATATAGGCAAAACATCGTTTAGAAACGATGCTTCTACTGTTTCTGATTATTTTGTTGAATGTTTTTGGACTATGTTAATTTATTCTTCCGAAATCGGCCTGTAGGAGGACATGCCCGACGTAAAGTTAATAGGGTTTGGGGCGGAGACAATATGCTCTGCTCGCTCAGCGACAACGGAGGGGAGAGTTCGCACAGGAGGCTGGGCAACTCTCACTGGGGGGAGGTGCCTCGACAAGGGCATCACGAGGATCATATTCGACCGCGGCGGCTTCAGCTGGGACGAGGTCCGCTCGCTCCACCGCCTCCTTCTTGGCGCTGTCACCTGCCCTTCCTCGGCGCTGCCGCTTTCCTTCTGCCACGCCCTTTTCTGGCGCTGTCCTTCCTTCCATTGGGGCGACGACCGGTCGCCCCACTCATGCATGCTCTTACCCTCCCGGGCGCTCCCCTGCCCCTGGACTTCCATGAAGCAGAGGTCACCCCCCTGCTCTTGCCACGGCACTCGTTCTCGTTCGTCGGAGGGAGGAGGATGAGGAGGGGGAGGAGGAGGAGGAGGGGGAGAGAGGAGGAGGCGGGAGGAGGAGGAGGAGGAGGAGGGGGAGGAGGAGGAGGAGGAAGAGGAGGAGGAGGAGGAGGAGGAGGAGGAAACGAGGGAGGGCGGAGGGTGGGGAGTAATCTAGTTGTATGATGTTTGGCTTGCATCCTTTCTGTGCCTCCGGAGACCTCTAGAGGCCTCCTGGAGGAGAAGCAATGTGCTGATGATATGGAGGGGGATGCGGGAGCGGGAGGAGGCGGGAGGGGGAAGAGTACGATTTTCTTCTCTCTCTTTCTCTCTCTCCCCCCTCCTCCTCCTCCTCCTCCTCCCCCTCATCCTCCTCCTCCTCCTCTTCTCTCTTTCCTTCTGTTTCCCAGGTGCACTACCACCACGGATGTGGCTACTCCCCCAGCTGACGCCACCTTGTCGAGTGCTTCCGTGGAGATCCAAAGCAGACCACCAACCCAGGTGCGCACGTTGTAAGTCTGAGTGGGGTTGCCTGGGGCGCAGCGTCCATGCGCGGGTGGGGGGTGCCCTCGATCTGCCCCTCCGATTGGGAATTCCCGATGCTGCGCGAAGCTTCAGGGAGCGGCCCTGAGCTGAAGATTACAAGAGCGATGGCTTAGCATTCTGCTCGTGAGGCGCACGCCATTCCGCCGACCTCCAGAGGAGGAGACGTGCGGCTTCCAACTTCGTGTGCGTTGTTTGCCGCTCTCCGCCGTGCCGCCTGCGTGTAGTTGCTGCCGATTCGGCCTCCTCTCCCTCCTCGTCTGCTGCGGCGCTTCTTGGGGGCCCCTTCGAGGCCGAGGGTGGCGGCTTGGAGCCTTCTCGGCGCTCCTGAGGGCCTTTTTTGGTGGAGCCCTTGGGGCTTCTTGGAGGCTTCTTGGGGGCTTCTTGGGGGCTTCTTGGGGGCTTCTTGGGGGCTTCTTGGGGGCATGCTGGGGTCTCGGGGGCCATCTTGTGAGGGAGTGCTCCCCCTCTTGGGCCTCGGGCCCTCTCGAAGGTCTTTCTTGGCTGCCCCGGGGGCCTCGTAGGTCTTTTCGGGGCTCTTCTGGGCCGTCTCCTGGCCCTCTTCGGGGCTCTTGGGCTGTCTTGGGCCAATCGGGGGGGCCCCTTGATTCGTTTCGTTTCCCAGAAACCCGAAGAGCGAGACCTCGAACATAGTGGAAACAACGATTGGGCATAGCGGTTTTCGACTCTCGAGGTCCTCTTCGGGGGTCCTCTTGGGGCTCTCTTGGGGCGTCTTGGGCCGTCTTCAGGCCATCTTGGGTGTTGTTGAGGCTTCTCTGGCGTGTCGGAGCCCTTCTGGAGCTATATTTGAAGACACCTGGGCGCATCTTGGCAGCCATGGAGGCTGGATTTGGAGGCTCTCGGGGCCAGGGAGGTTCGTTGAGGAGCTCCCCCCCCCCTTCTCTAGCATGATTTTGGACCCCTGGCGGTGGGGGAACGGGGGGAGGGGGACAGCTAAATATCGCACACGCCTTTTCACCCATGCCGAGCGGGAGATGGCGGTTCTTCCAGTCAGTACGGGCAGAGGGACGATCGATTGATCGTATCATCCTTCTATCAGGCGGACGCGTAGGTCAATCCCAAACATACGGACGTACGCGCCTCACATAGCGCGTGTGTTGATCGACGCTTGAGCTTACTATGAGCGATGGTGGCAATGAATTGAACCTTTCAGACGGCACAGACAACGTGTGTTCAGAGGGGGAGGAGAGGGAGGGTGAGCAGGAGGGGTGAGAAGAGGAGGGGAGACGGAGGAGGAGGAGGAGGAGGAGAAGGGGACCTGGCCTGCTTCACCCTCGCTGCTCCCCTTCCAGGGTATGCGCACTTCATGGTCGATCCTATTTGGATCCCTGCCCCATCTTCTGTGGGGCCCGCCGCGTGCGTTTTCTAGTTGCCCTCCGACTCGTCGCCGCGCGCGAGGCCGCGACCGCCAAAAAGTGCATGTGCATATATATATATATATATATATATATATATATATATATATATATATATATATATATATATATATATATGTGTGTGTGTGTGTGTGTGTGTGTGTGTGTGTGTGGCGTGACCCGTCCCCCTGAGCGGCCCTCGCCCCGTTTCCCCCCCCTTCGGCCGCCTCCCTTTCCTTCTTCCCCGCTTCCTGCATGGTGGCACAATTGGCTACAACGGTGCCCCTGTTTAGTTGGCTCATCCGCCAGCGCGGTTACTACCTGCCTAGCCGCCGACGCAAGTGTGCGTGTGTGTCTGTGAGAACAGGACTGCTGGCATTGCCGCAAAGCTGTGGCCTGGAGGCCAATGCCTCATCATATGGGGTATATGCGCAGGACCGCCGGCATCGCCGCCAGGCTGTGCCCAGGAGGTCAGTACCTCGTGAGTGCAGGACCGCCGGCATTGTCGCCGGACTGTGTCCTTGAGGTCAGTACCCCCTGCAGGGCCGCCTGCATTGTCGCCAGACCGCTGGCATTGCCCTCAGGCTGTGTCCTGGAGGCCAGTACCTCTAGTGTGCACGCGTGTGAAGTGTATGCAGATCCGCCTGCATTGTCGGCAGGTTGTGTCCTTGTTGTCAGTACCTCGTGAGCGCTCGTTTGGAGTGTACGCAGAACCGCCAGCATTGTCGCTGGGCTGTGTCCTGGACTCCACTGCCTCGTATGTGGGGGACGTGTGCAGGACCGCTGGCGTTGGCGCCAGGCTGTGTCCTGGAGGTCAGTATCTCTTGTGTGTGCGTGTGGAGTGTTTGCAAGACCGCCAGCATTGCCGCCAGGCTGCGTCCTGGAGGTCAATACTCTTAGCTCGAAGTGTGCTTGTGTCGCCTGGGAGGTTCCAACCCTGTGGGTCTCACCCCAGTGGTGCTCATCGCGGGGTCCAAGTCTAAGCCCCCTTACCATCGCTTCGTGCGTTCAGCGCAGTCCCCCCCAGTGCTGGGGCCCCCCGTCGCCACGGGGGGAGGACGAGTGGAGGAGGAGGAGAAGGAGGAGGAGGAGAGGTGGTGATGATGATGATGATGGTGATGATAATGCTGATGATACTGCTGATGATGATACTTATGATTGTGGTTGTGATATCGACGAGGAAGAGTTGGATGATGATGATAATGATGGTGATGATGGTAATGATGCTGATTCTGATGATGATGACGATGATGGTCATGGTGATGACGATTGTGATGGTGATGTTGATGGTGATGGTGAGGATGAGGATGATGATGGTGATGCTGATGGTAAT